GTCCTTGGTCTGCAAGACCTTGGTCTGTATTCATTCTCTGTAGGGTAGCCTATATCCACCACATCACACCATAGTCAATACTCCATGGAAAGTTTCAATTAAAAAGGCAGGGAAGTGAATAATTTTAGAAATTTGTATCCAATTAATTAAAATAAAGTTTTTGTTTCCCAAATGGTATATTTTTGTATTTAAACACGTGTTAAGCCCCCCAAAATGTGTTTTTGTTGAAAAATGCACAAAAATAAAAGAAAGAATGGGCTGAGGATTATTATTTCCTTGCCAGTTGGAGCTTGCCCAATTGAGGTTTTGCCTGTTCTTAACAACCCTCTCATTTCCTTCATTTCCGGTGTTGAAATCTGAATCAGCTTCAGTTACAGCCACCTACTGTACAACCACATTTCGGTGGCCTTTGTCCTCCACCTGTCCTTACATTCAAATTAATGTGCTTGAAAAGATTATTAAAAGAATCAAGAAAAGTCTCAGAACATATCCATTAGTAATTTAGAGACCATAGGGATTAATGAGAAGAAAGACTTGCACAGTTTGTGGATTCTAATTGAAGTGATGGGGGAAAGCAGGAATCAGAGAGGAATGAAAGTACTTTCAGTGGATCTGTGGATGAGAAATAGTATACTCTACTTGGCCTTATAAAAACAATCGCTCACTCAGCAAGTGTTGCTGACCTACTTTAAACAGGTATAAAGGAGAGAGTGGGGGTGCTGGATATGTACATGGTGAGTCTGAGATTACTCTGTGACTTTGATGATGGAGTTCAAGCAGGGACAGTGGCAATAGGCCAGTCACCAAGGGTTTTCATTTACCCAGAGCTCTTATACTTGATTAAATACAATAGTTACCATCTAAACTAGGCTGTGCAGATTGTCTCTGGATTGTCTGTGAATTAGCCAGGCTAAGAGAGACTATCCATTTATAATACCCAGAGCTTGACAGCCAAAGGTTTCTTTCTCACCCATTACAAAATCCAGTGGGGGTCAGAGTGGAACTCAAGGGCCTCCCATTTCTTGATTATACTGAGCTTTTACCATCTTAAAGTCCTCAATTATGTCTCCCTCTGACCAGTGATGGGAAAGAGACAAAGAATGAATATGTAAAACGTTGAAGGCCAGGACTAGAATAGGAATATATTACTCCTGGCCACTTTCAGAGGCCACAGCTCAAACACTTGATGCCATCTAACTACATGAGTGGCAAGGGAGTGGGCTTGAACCATGTGGACAGACAGGAGAGGAGAATCAAATTCTGATGGACACTAGAAGCCTTTGCTACTCCCATGAATATATTCCCAGGGTTCTAACTGAAGTAGGAATTAGAGGGGAACAAAGTCTTTTAACACGTTCTTGAGGATTCCTCATTGAACTTGTTGGCTTTCTCAACAGTGCATGCATCCCATCCTTAATACTCCAAAGATTCTCCCATTAGGACAATATTACAGATGAGGACACCAGGGCCCAGACAAGATGCACAGATTGTCCAAGGTCACATAGCTACTGAATGGCATATGGAGTGAAAGGGTCTTGGCCTCAGTTTCCCCATATATTAAAGTGTGAGGTCAGATCCTAATATCTTTCAAGCCTTTTGGTTCCTTTCAGATCCAAAATTTCAGTATTCTGTAACTACTGACATTCATTTCCTCCTAAGTCAACTAAGCAGACAGCCAGTAACCAGTAATTTATCTTTTCTTATTAATTCTAAATTTCGTCCTCACATCCCAAGCCCAAGTTTTCAGAAATTAAAATGTACTCAGTAGACAAGGTTACTAATACAATAGAGATTCATTTTATAGCAAAGTAGGTTTGTGTTTAACTGAACAGCACATGCGCACACACACACGCACATACACACACACGCGCGCACACACACACGCGCGCGCGCGCACACACACAACCTTGGTTGAGCAATCTTGCAAAACATATGTCCTCCTCCTACCACTCTTGTCCCATATTTGTCAGCTTTGCCATAGTAACCAACAGTGAGATATCAGTGGCTTACAACAATATTCACTATTTATTCCCTTTACCTAAGGGCATTGGATCAGCATCAGGTTGGCTGTGGCACTGCTAGGATTGGCTGAACTCTGCTCAGCTTATCTGGCTTTCTCTGTCTTCTCATTTTGGAATCCTGACTGAGAGTATAACCACTATCTGCAGTATCCCAAGGGCATTTGGAGACTCAAAACAAGAATACCTGAGCCAAACTATGCAATTATATTTAAGGCTTCTGTTTGGATTCAGCAAAAACGATCATAACTATTCACATCCCATTGTCTAAAGCTTTTCCCATGGCCAAGTTTAAAGCTATTGAGTTGAGATGTTCAGCCTTCCCACAGGATGCACATAAGCATGTTCTATGACAATAGATGGGAATGTGTAACCCTATAACTGGGAAGAAGGAAATAGTGGGGAAACTGCCTCCATTGAAGTTCTAAATGCAGCTTTTCCTGTGGAGAGATTGCCATTCCCACCTCCACAGCCCCTTTCTTTCCATCTCCTTTCAGCTGAAGCTGGGGCTCTCAAATTTCAGCTTCAATTTCATCACTTAAGTGCTCATTAAAAATTTCCTTGCTAAGCCCCACCTTCCAAATATTTTGACCCAGTAAGCCTAAGGTGGCAATGGTGCCCAGAACAGTGTCTAGGAACAGTGCCCCAGGAACACTCATTACTCTTGAAGGGCCACAGGTGGATTCCCATTACATGTGGCTTTAGAGACACTTTGGACAGTGGGGTATGCTGAGCTAGCCTGGTATCAGAAGAAAGGGGTGCCTTGTAGAATTCAGAACCTCCTGTCAGTGGGCCTCCTAGAGCAGGCATTACGAATGTTAGGTGACATCGTGATAGTCAGTGGTTCTCAGCCCTGACTACACATAGAATCATCTACACCTTTTTTAAATCCCCATGTCCCACTGGGCCTAACTCTGCAGGCATCCCTCAGTATCCACAGAAGACAGGGTTCAGAAACTCTGTGGATAACAAAGTCTGTGGATGCTCAAGTCCCTTATGTAAAATGGTGTAGCATCCTATGTACATACTTTTCTATATACTTTAAATCATCTCTATCTTACTTATATTACTTAATACAATATAAATATAGGTAAATAATAAATATTCCCCCAAATTATCACAGTATAGTGACAGTACAGATGCAATGTTTTTTTTTTTCAAATATTTCACCCCAGGGTTGATGAATTCACAGATGTAAAACCTGTAGATACAGAGGGCCGACTGTCATCAGAATCTCCATGGACAAGGCAGAGGGATGGGGACTTTAAAGAAGTCCCCTTACTCATAATGTGAATGCTAGATTGAAAACCCTGGTGTCTGTTGAACAGCTTTGTCAACTGCAAAACATAATGTACAATTTCTGGATGAATTTTAATTGTAACTAATTGACCAATGATCTCATGAGGGACTAGTTCCTCTAGAAATCAGGCCAATTTGGATTTTCCACCATCTGTCCAGAGTGTGCACTGGCCAGGGAGCACTGAAACTGACCCAATTCTTATTCTTGCCCTTGAGCCAAAAAAGATTGAGCAAAAACAAACCTCCCTCAGATTAAAAAAAAAAACACACACACACACACAATGTTGCTGGGATCCTGTGGTGAGGGAATGAAGCTGGTGTAATTGGAAGCGATGCCTCCAGCCATGGGTAAGCATGCAGCATTTGATTTACTAAATGACTCCAGTACAAAGGAGCATACATTATAGTGTGGAATTAGCCCAATTAGGTTGGAAGCCAGTAGATCTTTCTGTGGAAGTTTCCCCACAGCACCAACCCTCAGTGAGGTCCCAGTTTGCCAATGCTCCTTCTGCTGATCATCTGCTTCTTACAGAGTGCAGCCATCATCATGCATAGCACAGGTCTCCTCTTCGGTGCATCTTCACGGAGCATAGAGTTCCCTTTCAGGAACCCTGGGGCTTATGAGAGAGTAAGGAGGGATATGTTTGAAATCAGAGGTGAATGTTAGAAAGCAGTTTCTACCCTATTTCTAATAACTTTAACGCAGTCCTGATTTTCTGACTAACCTGCCAGATTCTAATGTGATAAACATTTTACATAGAAATAATTCCCTTGTGGAAAGTTCCAGATGTTTCCCACCGAGGGATAGCACCAAACAGGGAATAGGATAGAAACACATTCAAAAAACAACAAAATGTAAACTTCATAGTAACAGCCATAAAAAATAATAGTCATGGATGACCTCTTGAACAAGGGTCTTCTGTGAATATTCACTAATGTGTACGTGTACCACTTGGGCTATGGACAGGTGACCATTCATTGCTGTGGCCACATGTTTGCACAAAGCTAATTATTGGTGGAGCATGAAGAGCTAAAACTTTCATCTGCCACTAGGCCAAAATTCTCTTGGCACCGAATCTCCAATTTCCAGCATCTCCATGAAAGATCAGTTACCATATTCTAAAACCTCTACAAATTCTCCTCTCAACAATGGCAGATCACACTGCTTCTAAGTCTAGCATTTATCATACTCATACTCAGGTAAGACCACAGTTTCTCCATGCAGGAGATGTTCTGTTACAAATCTTAGAGTCTTGTTCACCTTTGAGGCTTCATTTTATTCTCTTATTCATTCTATTCATTCTTATTCATTCAAAGTCATTGACTTTGTACAGAACTTGTGTAACAGTCTTAACTTTTAGCCTGGTATGAAATGGCTAAATCCCTCCTGTTTCTCTCTCCACCCTGAGCAGATTATGTCCTTTGTTTTCCAAATTAAATTCTGGCCTTCTGTATTGGAAAGAAAAGCCAGATTCTTGGAAATCAAGAGCACTTGGGGGTTCTCACACTGTGCTTCAACCTCAGGCTGTCTAATACTGGGTGGGGAAGGGCAGATAAGAAAACCCACTGGGCAGAGGGGCCCAAAGGAAGTGCCTAACACAATGCCTAACACTTTAACCAGTGAAGGCATGTATTCAAAATGTGTTCTCAGGAAATGAGACTGTTATTTTTATTTTTTTTTAGGACAAGAAATGCAGTAGAAATGTAATTGAGGCTAATTATCAGAAGGTATGACAGGAAGCACACTCACCTTGTATAATACAGAGCTACAAGGGTTATGGGGCATACGGTGTTTGCCCACCATTCCAGGCTGGCTCAGTCTTAGCAAAACCCAATGTGCCAAAAATGGAAATAACACAAACATTCACCAACATTGGAATGAATAAATAAGTTATGATACTTCATTCAGTGAAATACGAATGAGTTGAAATGAAAATGAATTATGTAAAACTACATGTAATGACAGGAATGAATCACACAGTAATGTGGGATGATGAAAGAAGCCAGACGCACATACATTCTCTTTAAATGCATGCGTATGATTCTATTTATATAAAATTCAGAAGTAGGGGCTGCGGTTGTGGCTCAGTGGTAGAGTGCTCGCTTCCCATGTGCAAGACCCTGGGTTTGATCCTCAGCACCACATAAAAATAAATAAGTGAAATAAAGGTGTTATTTATAACTACAACTAAAAAAATAAAATATTTTAAAAATTCAGAAGTAAGTAAATTTCATCTGTAGTGTTAGAAGTCAGGAGAGTGGCTCCTACTTGGGTAGTGTGGATAGATAATAGAAGGAGGCACAAGTTGGATTTCTGGGGTGCTGTTAGTGTTCTGTTTCTTAACCTGGGTGATACAATGGACATATTCCCTTGGTGGTAAATTATTGCAGAATACTTAATGATTCATATATGTAAACCACATGTATAGCAGTATTTAAAGAAAGACTTAGATGAGGCCTTGCTTATCCATCTGACAATTGGGCTTGAAAGAGCTGAAGAATCCTCAGAATCCCTGCCTAGCATGTTAGGTCAATTTCTACAGTTAGGGAAACTAACTGTAACAATGACAGATCACAATGGTTCTAAGTCTAGCATTTATCATACTCATACTCAGATAAAACCATAGTTCCTCCATGCAGGAGATGTCCTGTTCCAAATCTTAGAGTCTTGTTCACCTTTGAGGCTTCATTGATTCTCTTATTCATTCTACTGTCATTGACTTTGTACAGAACTTGTGTAACAGTCTTAACTTTTAGGCTGGTATGAAATGGCAGCCAGAGTAGAGACCACACTCAGTATTGACTCACTTAATGCCTGATCTTGGGAACAAGTGATACAAAATTGGAGAACCAAGATTGCTGGCATCCTGGGCTGATTTGCTCAGGGGCTCGGTGAGCCAGAACAGGCAGATTAAGTCTAACCAACACAGGCTTTAGAGTTGATAGTGGAGAGTGGTGTGTTGAATCTTGGATTTGTATTTTTAATTCTCAGGAGCCACTTGGCCTCCTCTGCTAGTTCATGTCCTCCCTAATGGGAGTAGTGGAATCAGCACAGGCTGTGGTACCATGGCCCTGATTTTCAATCTAGTTTCTCAAAAGGGCAAGGTTCCAGGCCATGTTTTGATGGACCTCTTTCTCAACTGTTGGCCTCTGTGGAAGAGACTTGGCTTAATGAATAAGGTAATGAAGGGAGGCTTTTGGAAAGAGCCTAAATAGGATCTAAAAAGGTCTAAACAGGATTGGTGTTGACATAGAGGAGCCCAAGAGAGAAGGGGGTTTTCTTGGCGTCCATACCACAGCAGCAGGAGCAGGGTAGGAAGATGCACTGGATAATATGATAGGAAGAAACGTTAGGATAGGAGAGCCTTGAGGACTCAGAAGGCAGAAAGCCAAGTCAGGTAGTCACAGACAAGGTGTGGGGGGTCACAAACTTGCTACCAACCTGCTCTTCAGATGCAAGTTTTGTATTTTTAAAGCACAGTCAGTCACACTCACAGAGATAGTGAGGAAAGAAGCCTGCAGTGATTGACCTGGGACCCAATATGCAAGGCTGACTTTCTGCTAACTGGACTCCAAATATTTCAAGCCTTTTGCTGCTATAACATCATGAAAAGCAGACTGTTGACTCCATTGGATGTTCCAGCCTGAGTTGAGGTAGTACATAAGGAGGGTTGGCTTACCCTTGCTCAGGATCCTTTTGGAGAGTTGAGATCAAAATCCAATGGAGAGTTGACTCAGAGAGATAAAAAAAACAACTCCATCCCTAATCTAATGTTTGCCAGCCATAAAAACTGGTCAATGAGCAATACAGGTATGATTAATGCTGGGACTCACCCTGGGTCTGATGGGAGTTAACATTTAGCGCAGCCCCCTGGGGGTGGGGGGAAAGCTGCCATTATCTTTTACTCTAAAGACTTACTGAGCCTATTTTGTTTCTTCTGCTGAGGTGTAAGATGCAGAATAAGTTGAGAAATCATTATGAAACACTACATTGATTCCTCTATGAATTTGTCTAACTCCCTGGCACAGGGGTTTCAGGCATTAGAAAATACATAGTAGTTGGGGCTGGGGTTGTGGCTCAGCGGTAGAGTGCTCGCCTGGCACATGCAAGGCCCTGGGTCTGATCCTCAGCACCACATAAAAATAAATAAATAAAGATATTGTGTCCAACTAAAAAAATAAATAAACAAATATTTTTTTATTTATTTTTTTTTAATAAGTAAAATTTTTATTGGTTGTTCAAAACATTATAAAGCTCTTGACATATCATATTTCATACATTAGATTCAAGTTGGTTATGAACTCCCAATTTTACCCCAAATACAGATTGCAGAATCACATCGGTTACACATCCACATTTTTACATAATGCCCTATTAGTAACTGTTGTATTCTGCTACCTTTCCTATCCTCTACCATCCCCCCTCCCTCCCCTCCCATCTTCTCTCTCTACCCCATCCACTGTAATTCATATCTCTCTTTGTTTATTTTCCCATTCCCCTCACAACCTCTTATATGTAATTTTGTATAACAATGAGGGTCTCCCTCCATTACCATGCAATTTCCCTTTTCTCTCCCTTTCCATCCCACCTCATGTATCTGTTTAATGTTAATCTTTTCTTCCTGCTCTTCCTCCCTGCTCTGTTCTTAGTTGCTCTCATTATATCAAAGATGACATTTGGTATTTGTTTTTTAGGGATTGGCTAGCTTCACTAAGCATAATCTGCTCTAGTGCCATCCATTTCCCTGCAAATTCTATGATTTTGTCATTTTTTAGTGCTGCGTAATACTCCATGGTGTATAAATGCCACATTTTTTTTATCCATTCATCTATTGAAGGGCATCTGGGTTGGTTCCACAGTCTAGCAATTGTGAATTGTGCTGCTATGAACATCGATGTAGCAGTATCCCTGTAGTACGCTCTTTTAAGGTCTTCAGGGAAAAGTCCAAGAAGGGCAATAGCTGGGTCAAATGGTGGTTCCATTCCCAGCTTTCCCAGGAATCTCCATACTGCTTTCCAGATTGGCCGCACCAGTTTGCAGTCCCACCAGCAATGTACAAGAGTACCCTTTTCCCCACATCCTCTCCAGCACTTGTTGTTGTTTGACTTCATAATGGCTGCCAATCTTACTGGAGTGAGATGGTATCTTAGGGTGGTTTTGATTTGCATTTCTCTGACTGCTAGAGATGGTGAGCATTTTTTCATGTACTTGTTGATTGATTGTATGTCCTCCTCTGAGAAGTGTCTGTTCAGGTCTTTGGCCCATTTGTTGATTGGGTTATTTGTTTTCTTATTGTTTAATTTTTTGAGTTCTTTGTATACTCTGGATATTAGGGCTCTATCTGAAGTGTGAGGAGTAAAAATTTGTTCCCATGATGTAGGCTCCCTATTTACCTCTTTTATTGTTTCTCTTGCTGAGAGAAAACTTTTCAGTTTAAGTAAGTCCCATTTGTTGATTTTTGTTATTAACTTTTGTGCTATGGGTGTCCTATTAAGGAATTTGGAGCCCGACCCTTTTAAAAAAAAGAAAATATACAGTAGTAATCAGAGACCAGGCTATGTCTCAGGAAATCCCAGAGAATAGTTGTTCTTCCTTTTAGTCCATAAAATGCTTCCTGAAAGTTATAGGAAAAAAAAAACTTTTATTGGGAGTGTTTCTTTGATCCTGCATCAGTTTATGAGCAAGTATGAGCAGATGACAAAATCTACTTCTGCTGAACCTACCCTGTATCCCCACCCTAGCATTTCTATAGTAAAACACTTGGAACCTTGCTTTGGAAGATCTGCCTAGATAGCACCTGACCTCACCAAAAAGGTGTGATTTATGGCATGCTGAGTCCAAGCATTTTAATACAATGCCCCCCACCCGAAGCAGAGAAGCTTCAATAAAGGGATGTTATTTTTAAAATAATAATAAAGTCTTGACCAGTGGGCAGAAGAATCCAGAATCCTATTTCCAACCTAAGATGAGATAACCAGATTACCAGGACAAAGACCTCTTTCTGGGCTATCTGTACCTGGTTAAGCTGGATTAGGGAGATCAACAGAATCTGAGACCAGCAGGTATAAGCAGGGCAGAAGCCAACATGGCCTCTCAGCCCTGGCTCTCCTTTTCTGCTCAGGACTACACATCCACTTGTTGGGTCTGTTGGGTCTGTTGTTTTAATCGCCACTGTCTTTCCAACAGAAGGGGGAATAATTGTTCCATCTATCATAGACTTTCTGCAAATCAGGATGATTTATCAGATGCTCTCAGATTTGCCCAATTGCTCTGTCCCTATGGGTAGATGCCTGTCAGCTTACTAAACCTCTCCATACTTCACTTTCTCATCTGTTAAAGGGGATGGTAATAATCTGTAACTGCTCATGGTGCCATTGTGAGAACAAAATAAAATTCAAATGATTAAAGTACTTTGCCCTGTGCCTGTCCCATCACAGATGCTCCAGAAGAGTCACATAGACATTATTTAAAACCCTTTCAGGGACTTTGCCCTCTTGATGTAAGTTAGATGACCCCTAGGGATTAGATGGTGCAGATGGTTGAGAATGTACAACCCAGGAGGGCATCTGGAAGGAATCTGGACCTTCAAAGAACAACATGCTGGCTACCTGACAGGACCCATTAGAGGACCAGGATCCATTATTAAAACAGCTGCCTCAGTGTAAGGGAGCTACCTGATAGTTAGTGCCCTTGTGCCCTATACCTTTGCTATCACTGAGCTTTTTATTTCTGAGTATGTCTTGCAGGAGGAAGTGTCGGGTGGAGAAAGCCTTCAAAAAACTGCCCATTAAGTGACTGTCAGGAGGAGACTCACACTCTGGTCAGGAGGAATGGGCGAAGATCTTTTAGAGGCTCATCAGACAACACAGCTTTGCCCCCGATGCTCTCCCCTTCATTTAAAAACCAAAACAAACTAACTAAAAAAGAAAAGAAATAAAATAAAATTTAAAGAGAAATTAAAGCCATGTGTTTCTGAGAATTTACACTCGGTTCATCAAATCTATTGTTTTCTGAGTGTCGTTTAAAGTCTAATAAAACTAATGAGCCTTCTTTTTTTAAAAAAAGTTTTTAAAATCCTTTTTCTTAGAAGGACATTGAGAGGCTTTGAAAGCTGTTCTAAGGGTAAAAATAATAATATTAATAATAAATTGCTCAAAACTCTCAACCCCTGCAGGTTCAAAATTTGCTTAATACTCTGAGCTCAAGGGATTTGAATTATTACTGGAGTTTATTATATTTTATAATGAGACTTCACAAAAGGGAGAAAGAAATCACGTGAAGGTTCACTAGAGTTCATTGTAAAGTTTGCTTCACAACAATGCTCATAGCCCAGGCTTCCAGGACCCTCTCACTCTGAACCTTCAAAGAAAGCACCCCCTACTTGGCAGGATCTGTGGGGCTAGATAAAGTCAGAAACTGAGAAACTGACTTTTCAGCCAGGATTATTTGGGGCTGGAGATTTAAAGCCAAAGCCCTCCTAGAATGGTTCCCTTGTAGGGCATACAATCTATGTCACATAAAATGCATGATAGTCAGATGACTGTGGAATGAAAAGAGAACATCCCCCCCCCCCCTTGGGATATGTGCAAAGGAGTGGACTACTGTGATCCCCTTGAACTTTCTATGTTATCATCTGATGACCTCTGGCGGTGGAATTTTTCCCAGCAAGTGCAAATCGAGGCTTCTGAGCCAAGCCATCCCATGTTACATTTTCCTACATTCCCTTCCTTCTGTTTTGTCATTCACATTAAGCAAGGAGCAAGAAACAGTTGTAAACACCCAGAATAAATTGGTGCATATGCCTGACCAGGCTGTCATTTCAAAAAAGTTGCCTGCTGCCTCTCTTTCAGGCAATCTTTGATACATTTCCTGTAAGAAGAAAAGGGAGCCAACATGAAGGATAATGTGGCATCCACAGTTGTTTTCATGCTGCTGCTTTTTCTCAACATCAGACTCCTGAATGGTGAGTAAGAGATTGTCCTGCTCTCTTTTATTGCTGGGGTGTTTATCAAGAAGGTGAAGAGATCATCACAGCTTTCTTGCAATGCAGTTGTGAGAAATAAAAATGCTATGTCATGTGCTGCTAATAAATTATTTGCAACCCTTTTTGCATTAAAATTAATGCAGAAAAATTAATGCAAACTTGTCATTATGCTCTCTGCCTTCTATCCTCATTGAGGAGGGTCATGAAACACTTCTGAGGACCTGAGTTCTAGTCCAGATTCTGCCAGTTGCTGGCTGTGTGACCTTGAGCCAATTGCCCAATCTCTTTGGCTTTCCAAATTCTTAAAGTGAGGACAGTGACATTTCCTCCACCACAGATGAAATAACAAATGTGAAAAATCTTGGAAAAACCATGAAGAGATGTAAAAGACTGCTATTGCATGGTGAGAAACAGATACAGCCAACTCTGTTATCTGCTGATTTGGGAAATAATATCCACAGCTAAATTAGGAGTGTGCCTGTACATTATCCACAGCTAAATTAAGTGTGTCTGTGTACATTTCTGAGTGTCAACCCCTATACATTTCTGAGTGTGAATACTTATGAGCGTACCTATGTGCATATTAACTTTTTATACTGCCTGATTGCAAATGCTCCTCTGTGAGTACCTGTGTTGGTATAAATCTGTGTGTGGGTTTATGCCTGTGTGTGTACCTATGAGAATGTCTGTATGTGTACTCTGTGTGTACATGTATGTGAAATAATATGTACTGTTGTAAGTGTGACCCTGTGTGTATTTCTCTGTGCATGTATGTGGGGTGTGTGTGTGTGTGTGTGTACTTGGGATGTGGGATCTATGTGGACATCTGCCTAACACCTGCATGTGTGATTCCTGTGTGATTGTCCCTGTGTGTCTGTGTGTTAAGACAGTCCGTTACATGTGACTGTCTCTAAAGAGGATAAAGGCACACATTGTGATGTCACAACTTTACCTTCCTCTCTGAGTTTCCTAAAAATACTATTGGTGACCAGTAAAATGTGAAAGAGAAGTTTTTGTGAAAGAGAGAGAAAAGGGAAAGCAGAGGCCAGAATCATTCATGAGGGAAATTCTAAGTACTCCAATCATGAACAGTAGCCCCGAGTGTCTTCAACTGTATTACTTAACCATAGACTTTGGGGTTTTTAAATAAACTTTTCTTCCTATGTCACATACTCCTCCTCACTCATAACAAAAACAAACAAAAGGAACCTTTTGTGTTTGCCATGATTCCCAAATACATCATCCTGAAGAAATTTCCCCTAGAAGATGAGCAATGACAAATATTGGCAGAGCTGCCCTAGGCTGACATGGACTGCTTTCACGGGGCCTATAAACTGGCATGTTGCTCAGCTCCCACTGGCATGATTAGCCTGGTATCCTGGGTCCGTCCTGTGCACCATGTTGTGCCATCCCATTCAGTTCTCCTTTCTGGCCAGGTTACCCAGAGAACCCCTTCTTAGGCATGTCCCCCTCACAGGGTCTCCTGCAGACTTGCTCTTCCTAGTCTGATGCTCAACTAGGAGTTCCGGCCTAGGATCCTGCCTGAGGGATGGAGAGAAGTACGGGAGGAAACAGTGAGAACCCTCTGAGCTGCTGAGGCCTAACTCAGAGCTCCTCTCTCTCGGCTCCTCATTTATTAAACTGAACACTGGGGCTTTAAACTTGACAGGAAGAAGGAGCAAATGGGAGTTATATAGATGGTTAGTTGGCCTCCCCAGCCCAGCTGCACTGGGGCAAACTCCTAGGATAGCTCAGTTTCTCTTTGGAGCTAACAGTAGCCAAGCCAGAGAAATGGGAACCAGCTTGCCAAGAGCTTTGGGGATTAGGCAACTAAAAAAAAAAAATCCCTCCTCCTTGACACTGTATTTTCCATATCACCTTAAGCAGACCTTCCAGCTTCCAGCCTGAGACTGAATGCAGCTCATGGTAGCTCACAGCTCAGAGAGGACCTGCCCAGTATCCTACCTCTTACCATACTCCTTCCCCAAAATGGTCCATAGAATTGCAAGACAGCCCTTTGCCATCTCACCACAAAAAAAAACCAAAGAGGGAGAAAATATAAGCAGAAAGAAGGACTAAAAACCAAGACTCAGAGATGGTAACAGGGAGGATGGGGAGATCCACTAGGCCATTAGGCCAAGGCCAAGGAAAAGTGACAGGAAAGGGGAAGAAGAAGATAAGAGGAGAGAGGGAGGAACTGCTGAGGAACACTCAGACAAAGGGGGCATCAATGATAGATGACAAACTAAAGATGGAGACAGTTGGAGTTAGTGGTGTGAGGATGGAGGAAGACAGAAACCCAGAAGCAGAGATGTGCCAGGGAGCAATGTGTGGGCAAAGGAGGCACAGGCTGCTTGTGCCAGAGAAGAAGTCACCTTATATTGTAGCATTACGTTAGCTCTTTAGACTCCATGGGAGGAAGGCCTCACACTCTCCAAGCCAAACCCATCCTTCTTGCTCCCCAGGCTCACTCCTCACTGAAATGTTACAGTTGGTCACTGCCCCACGTGAACTGCTGGTACCTCCATCTCAAAACACAACACTCACACATTTACCCAGGCACACACCACAACCACCACCAAGCTCTCTCTCCAAGAACACTGTCTGCCCTAGGATAGCACCCAAAGGGTGTTCCTGGGTGCTGAGCCTGTAAGTCTGCTCATCTGAGCCTCTCTCTGCTCTGGGTATCTTCACTGTGCTGTCACCAGCAGAAGAGTTGAGTGGTTGAGTGGATCTCAATATTAACCCCAATGGCTTGTGACTTATTTTTAGGAGAGTCACCTCCTGGAAAACCTACTATCTTTAAATGTCGTTCTCCTGAGAAGGAAACATTCACCTGCTGGTGGAGTCCTGGGACAGACGGAGGACTGCCTACCAATTACACACTGACTTACCACAAGGAAGGGTAAAATGTTATCTTCTCTCCTATCAAGCCCCACAAGACTGTTCACACATCCAGGCCAAAGTAGAGATGGTTCTGAGTCAGAATTTTCTGGGTGTATACCACAAAGGCTCAAACCCCTGGAGAAAAGGAGTGTCTGTCCACCTTCTCTTGTTAAGGTCCTTTACAAGCTTTCTCAATCTAGGCAAGCTGATCCACCACATTGGCAACAAAATATTAGCAATGTTTCCATTTACCTGTCACAAGCTTAGGCTGCAGCCCAAGTCTCCATAGAAGTATTTCCTTATAATAATCTTAGACGACCATACGTAAACCCTGTGCCATTTGTAATTTTGCCTAAGTAAACATGTTACTTTTGTAACACGATAGGATTATATAAATCAGCACCATATAATCCTTGAAAAATGTGGCACATTAGGTTTTCAAATTTGTTTCACATCCAAGAAAATAAAGAAGTGTATGAGGAAAAGAAGGTCAGTGTTTTTCTTTTATCAAATTGCTGATCCAGAACTGGAGATCTCCTGGAAGGCATGTTTGGATATAATGTTGCCATAAGGACTAAACAAAACATCCCTGGGTGAGAATTGTGCTAAATTCACAATGAGATTCTCCTGGAAATCCTGGAGAATTGGATATATTACTAGTAAAGACAGCTGGTTCACTTTCCAGTAACTGCTCCTGGTTGTACACAAAGCTGTCCTTCCATCTGGGACCCAAAGGGGTGTCATGTAAGCAGATTTTATGAACTCAAACTGGCAACCAAAATCAAATAAACCTCCATCCCTCTGTGGTGTGACTGGATTTGTATCTCCTCATATGAGCAGCCTAATAAGCCACTCCGGGTTAAAATATCTCTTTTCAAAGTCACTTCACTCTGTTACTGATTTGGTTATCTAAAGTATATTGATGCCAGTTTTTATCCTCTTGAAATCTTTTTTTTTCCCAAATGTAATTCAACATGTAAGTACAATAAATGCTGCATTGTAGATGGCCACACTATGTGTGTATGCAGGTGAAAGTCCCGGTTCCCTGAGGTGATATAATGTTACTGCCTGGGTATGGCAGTGCCTTGGCCATACCCATATCCTTGCAGCTCAGGATTTATTATCAGACAATGCATATCTCAAAGCTCGCAAAAGCACTATACAGAGGGAAGGGTTTCCGAGAAGCAGAATAGCTGAGACCCTAAAACATCCTTTCCAGCCCTTTCTCTCTCTGCCCAGCTGATATGCACTTAAAATGTCAAATCTCCAAAAGCCAGTGGTGTTAGAGTTGTTATCACTTTCTTATTTCCTCCTAATATGTTACTCATTGCAGAGAGACCATCACCCATGAATGTCCAGACTACAAAACCAGTGGCCCCAACTCCTGTTACTTTAGCAAAAAGCACACCTCTATATGGACAATATACATCATGACAGTAAATGCCACCAACAAGATGGGAAGCAGTACCTCGGATCCACGCTATGTGGATGTGACTTATATAGGTAAGGGGAAGGAGAGGGGTGAAGAATTTGTTACTCCATTATGTATTTACCAATAGTTAAATTCAATTGAGTCTTCTTTGCTTATGGGCCGATCCCTGACCAAAAAAAAAAAAAAAAAAGATGAGAAAATTCACAATATCCTTGTCAACTGAGCATTTCAAATTACTTTTGTGGATTCATTCATTCAGTAAGTTTGGCACTTGGGATCCTTATGTGCTTTCCTTTGAACTCAGGGGCACTCGACCACTGAGCCATGTCCCCAGCCCTATTTTGTATTTTATTTAGAGACAGAGTCTCACTGGGTTGCTTAGCTCCTCACTTTTGCTGAGGCTGGCTTTTGAACTCACAGTCCTCCTGCCTCAGCCTCCTGAGCCACTAGGATTACAGACATGCGCCCCATGCTTGGCAACAATGCTTGTTTTATGTATGCTCTCCTTGTTAATGTTTCTCTCCTGCACTGACCATATAATCAATGTCCCTTTCTACCTTGATAAGCTGGGATTTATTTCTTTTATTCTCTCCATGGAAGACAAAGTTATTCCCTGTAGAGCAGCAGTTAGAAGAGATTCATCTGATTCTGCATCCATAGAAATTGCTGCAATTACTTTACTCCCACCATGAATTCTCAAAATACATATATTTCTTAACAATCCAAGCTATTATTTTACAAATACAGAATTGGCTTGATGCTTGAGCATCAAGCTGAAAACCAAGATCACAAGTACAATATATGGAGAAGTCATTAGCAAAGTAGAAAAAAATCAACCTGGAAGATATTCCTTGATTTGCATGATCATCTTTAAGCTGCAGGGCAAGTGGGCATAACTTCAATGGCCCTTATGGTTCAGTGAGGGAGAAAAAGAAATCATAGAATAAAAAATGGCTGGGTTCATTACATATGTTGAGTATTAATCTATGAAGTTGCTAACTAGATTCAAGGTCTCTTGAGTCTCCTGATATACACAATACTATCCAACAAGGAAGATCAGGCTGGGACCCTCCACTATTCAACTGCATATAATTCCATTGACATATTGTCAGTGGTTGATCCTTAAAAACTAGAAAAGCTTGCAATACCAATTGACACACACTTGAATATTTTTCCCTTACAAAAATTATTGGAGTAAGCATTGGGGTAGAATTTGAATTTGATCTTAGTTTAAGAAAATCAGAAATGTAATCCTACTGACAAGTAGAAATAAAATAAATTCTGATCATATAAATTCCCTTGAAATATGAAGCCTTTAAGATGCTAAATGACAGATAATTACATTTTGTGGGCTCTTTCTTTAATTGCCTAGTCCTCAAAAGTTATAATATTTGAGAACAAAACAACAAAAAACAAGAAAAACTTTGGAATAAACAAATGCTGTAATGAAATGATCCACAAAACAAAGTATTCATTAAAGAAAAGCTGTATATTTTTAAAATGAAATCAACAAGTTCATATTGAATTTGCCTTGACTCTGGAAAACTAATTCTCTGATGAAAGAATGTGCATTGGACTATATTTTTCCAAGTAATAAAAGAAGTGTTTGTGGAACTCATATAACCCTGCAGCATGCTGTATTGGTGGCAGGCCAAGAGAGTTCACTTAAAAATCTGTTTCCACCATGGTACATTTTTCTACCAGCTTGACTCTCATCCAGTGATAACTTGTGATACAGGTTATCCCTATAAAGCATTGGCCACTAGTTGCTCAGAAATCAATTTCTTTGGGTTCATATTGCTGGGTAATATTTAGCTATGTTGGAGACTCTGGAAAATAGCAGTTCCCAACTGGGGGCTATTTGCATTTCACAGGATGTCTGGCAATGTCTAGAGATGTTTTTGAATGTTGAGACTTGAGGAGGGGCAGGATATTACTGACATCTGTGTGATAGAAGAGAAGCCAATGCTAAGCATCCTTCCGTGTGTAGGATAGCCCCCCAGGGCAAAGGACTATCTAGTCCAAATGGTGAAGGAATTTTGCTTTTGTACACGCATGTTTTTTAATCACAGATATTGCTCAGTATGTGCTTAACTTAATGCTTCTTTTAATTAATTGATATTTATTTAGTAAGTACATATAGAATAATCTTTCTTAGGAGTTCATATGCATTAGGATTTATGGAAGCTTTTCTAAAGCTCATTTTTTAGATAAATGTAAGTCACAATGCCAAGTGTGCTGTTCTTACACACACTCTCTTTCCCACCTGGTATAGAGACTGATTTCTGGAGGCAATAAATAAAAGGAGAAAATGTTACTGACCAGCAGGAGTGAGACTAGGGTAAGACAAATTGCACCCTAGGCAGTTCAGTTTTAGGGAGGTGTTCTCAGGACCCTGCACTTTCAGGAATTGAGAATGATGCCTCCATCATTTTATTATTGTGGTAGAATACATGTAACAACAGTTACCATTGAAAGTGTGCCATTAGTTCATTGTCAATGTTATGCAACATTTATCTAGTTCTAGCTCCCAGCCTAGGGAAACAAGTGACTTACCATTGTTTCCCTAAAGTCACATCATCGTGAATGGAAATGTCATACCTCCTACACGCTCATTCCCTATTTCTCCCTCTCCCAGTCTTTTGTGACCCTCATCTTCCTTCTGTCTCCATTTGCCCAGCCTGAATATTGTACATTTATGGGATCATACAATAGATGACTACACCACATTTGATCCATTCATTGGTGGGTGGACATTTGTGTTTTTCCACCTTTTGGCTATTATGAATAGTGCTGCCGTGAATATTCATGTACAAGTTTTTGCCTGAACATATTTTCTTCAATTCCTGGGGGCATGTATCTAGGAATAAAATTGATGAGCAATATGGTATTTCTATATTTTGCTTTTTGAGGAACTTTCAGAGTATTTTCCATAGCAGTTTATATTCGTACCAGAAGGTTCCAACTTCTCTACATCCTTGCCAACATTTATTTTACACTTTTTTGAATTCTAGGCTTTCTGGTAGTTGTAAAATGGTATGTCACTATGGTTATGACTTGTATTTCCCAGAAGACTAATGGCATTGAGCATTTTTTATGTGCCAAGATTTTTGCAACTTTTGCACCTCATTTGCCTCAACTGGATCCCAAGCCCACTCTCCAGCCCCTGGCATCACACAGAGCTGCTCACAGCCATGGCAGAGTAAAATGGTAGAAAAAGTTGATTCTAGACCACATAGATCAGGATTCAAATGTCACTTTTACTGTAATTTCCCCTCCTCTAAGCCTGTTTTCTCCTCTGTAGAATGGGTACAGTAATAGCACGGTATGGAGTTAGTTGGAGACATTGAATGATATGATGCAGGGAGAGAGTTTTATGCAGCAACTGGCATGTAGCAAGCACCCAAAGACTGTTTGTGATCATTTTGCTGAAAACATTTGCAGAATGAAGGAATGGAACAACAAGTTGTTATGAGGTCACCAAAGAGATCATTGCCAAAAAGTCCAACTTTTAGGCACATTGTGATAACTAGTATCTGAAAGAATGAATTCCATTCACCATCAGGGCTAACGTGTATTGGATGTGAAATGTAAATGAGGAAGCAAAGGTAGAATCTGTAAACTTATTACCTAAGTCATAAATATGAATAGATGGTTCACAAAACATGTGTGCCATCAAAGAGAATCTTGCTCCTAGCTGAGAAAAAATAAGTTTTCAAGTCCCCTCCCAATAATCTTTCATCCTAACTCCATTTGCAAATTCCAGCTTAACTTGTATCACCTGGTCTCTGCCATCATGAAAATAATTTGCGTATATATTTGACCTTGGTTGCTGGAAAGTGAAGAACACATCAAAAACAAAAATTCAGCTGCTTGCTAGTCTGACCATACTAAACTCAAATTTAAGTACAGATAGGATTGGTCACATACTAAGAGGCAGACAGCATAACTCCTGTCTTCTAAGGGATTATAATGTGTTGGGGAAAGAAGGCTGGTAAATTGAAAATGCCATCCATGATAGAAAACTGTAGTGGCAAATAAAAGTTGTGAACACTTAGTGCAACTGGAATTTCTTTTCTATGTACAGTTGAACCAGACCCTCCTGAGAACCTGACATTGGAAGTGAAACAGCCAGAAGACAGAAAACCATATCTGTGGATAAAGTGGTTCCCACCCAGCCTGGTTGACGTAAGATCTGGTTGGCTCACACTACAGTATGAAATTCGATTAAAACCTGAGAAAGCAGCTGAGTGGGAGGTGAGTCAAACAGAATGTTTTTGAAGAATCCATATTCGTTAGCAAGGATGAACCCCTCACGGCTATCAACAGATCATTTCTTCAACTAGTGGGCCACCATGTTGGCCTACCCAGGCAGATGTAACCCACCCAGATGTGGGAAGGCCTTCTTTCCTCTCTTGGAATTGAATGGAGTCCATCTTCATGGCTCTCCCAGAAATAGTTTCTTGCACTTTACAGCCTTCTCCCCCAGGCTCCCCACCTGCCTTTCTAAGTATACCTTAGATCTAGACACCTATGAAAGTATGTAAATTACACTGGGGCAGGAGGTAGGGAGAATCTTACTGTAATTTATCCATAGGCAATTTCTGTATTTGTAAGGAAATACTTTCAAATACTTGAATGTAAAAAAAGAAATAATGCAGTAAATTGCAGGCATTATGATATTCTACCCTCAAATACATTAGTATGTGGGTCTTTTTTACAAAGAGCATTTCCAAATATATGCCAAATAATAGAATCACATATAGAAAAATTAAATTCCTGAATAACATGTAGTATCCAGTCCATCTTTTAATCCCTCCCTCAGTGTTTCAGGAATTTCTTTAATGGTGGCTTGTCCAAACCAAAATCCACTTCAAGACCACACATAGTGCCTGGTTGTTAAATCTCTTTAGTATTAATGCACTCGGGAGGCTGGGCCACTTGTCCCATAGAATATTTCATCTTCTTCATTTATCTGATTAATTCTCTGTAATGTCAGTTAATTTCTCTTTCCCCAAATTTTCTGGAGATTGGAGCAGATTCAGATTGCACAATTTGGGCCCAGCATACTTCAGAGGTGATATTACATGCTTCATAATGCATCATCAGCACCATCATCACCAGACACAGCCATCTGGTTGACCAACCATTAATGATGCTTAAATTGACGCCTGTGTTGGGGAGATGAAAATCCGGTCCCTTATTTATAAACTCATGTTTCATTTGATTTTTACAAATATCACAATTTCACAGCAATTTTACAGTTGCTTCAACATACATGAAGACCTTGTTCTCTTCCAATTTATGATTTTAATACCAATTAATAATCCTTAAATCAGTTACTTCTCTGGAGTTTATAAACTATTTTCCAATTTTATTGTCCCTTATACATTTATAAAGTTGATTTATTAACATTTATCATGTCTTCCATGCAGCAGAGTTGGAGGGGTATGACATATTTGTCATTGTGAAACAAAGTTACAAGTGGAGAGAGAGAAAACCTTTGAAATTTTAATTCTTGCTCCACAGAAGTCTTATTAAGGAAGTTGGGGCCTAATCCCACATGATGGAGATTAGGGCCTACATTTTCTTCTATTAGACACAGGGTCTCTGGTTGTATTCCTAAGTCCTTGATCCATTTTGAGTTGAGTTTTGTGCATGGTGAGAGAGAGGAGTTTAATTTCATTTTGTTGAATATGGATTTCCAGTTTTCCCAGCACCATTTGTTGAAGAGGCTATCTTTTCTCCAGTGCATGTTTTGGCATCTTTGTCTAATATAAGATAATTGTAGTTTTGTGGGTTAGTCTCTGTGTCCTCTATTCTGTACCATTGGTCTACCAGTCTGTTTTGGAGCCAATACCATGCTGTTTTTGTTACTGTTGCTTTGTAGTATAGTTTAAGGTCCGGTATAGAGATGCCACCAGCTTCACTCTTCCTGCTAAGGATTGCTTTAGCTATTCTGGGTCTCTTATTTTTCCAGATGAATTTCATGATTGCTTTTTTTCATTTCTATGAGGTATGTCATTGGATTTTTTAAAGGAGGGATGGATCTGAAAGGGTAGCACAGAATGGTGAAAGCAGAGTATCCTGTAGGTATCATCATCTGGCCTGATGTTTCCAATGGTTTATTATTTAGTGGCAAAGTCCCTTTCCTCAAAACAAAAGCCAGAAGTGACTTCTGTTTTCCTTGTTCTTCTTTAGACCCATTTTGCAGGGCAACAGACACAATTTAAGATTCTCAGTTTATATCCAGGACAGAAATACCTTGTCCAGGTTCGCTGCAAACCAGATCATGGATTCTGGAGTAAGTGGAGTCAAGAGAGCTCCATTCAGATACCCAGTGGTGAGTGCCTGGACTGCCTTTGCTTATATTCCTAAGTATTTTTAGATGGTTAATTTGCATGTATTAACTACTAATAGAGAGACTGTTTGAGCCTTATCCAGAATAATAAATAGAGGTGGGTTTTTAATTTCTTTATCCAACACAAAGACATTGAGCAGGGTTGCATTTCTCCCTGAATGACTGTCAGTGAGGACCAGTTTCCAGGTAATGTACAGATGTGGACTTTAAATGTCTCAGAGAGTCAAATGGTCAATCATTATGCCCTTTCCATATGCCTCATCCCTAGCATTTAGAGGGTCCAGTCAGTACCATCATCTAGTTCTTCCTGAGTTTGTAGGGTATTATCCCATCTCAAAGTCACAAACTCATGTTTAATCTCTGATGAGAATTATATGTTGTTCTATTATTCATGGGCACAGTACATGAGAGGCCCTCAGATCTAACAAAGTGCCATTAAATATAGTGGCTTATATTCCACAAAGGGAAAGAGCCATTTTGCATTCCTAAAGTACTTTATAGTTTCCAGTATCTTTATCCCATTTGGTGCTCCCAACCCTCTCATGTATTTGGAGAGAATATAATTACCATTAGGAATTAAAAGTGAGAAAACGAAATTCAGTGAAGTTAGGTCTGTAAACTTGCCTGGCCAAAGTATCAGGGCTTCATTGGCTTGGCATGCTGGGAAGAACACTGAACTGTGAGTCAGTACATACATCTAGACTGGTACTAGCTCATACTAAAAAAAAAATCAGAGGGCCTAGAGGCAGGAGGCCTGGGTTCAAATCCCAGATTGCAACTCTATTCTGACATGTCCTTGGGTAAGTCACTCTTTGATTCTCAGTTTCCTCATCTATAAAACAAGGCAATGTGGGTAGAGAGCTTAATGTGATTGATGGTTTTTAGTAAGAACTTTTTTTAGTGTTAACTTTTATTATTATTACTGCAACTTACCATGGATTTCTTCTTTAAGAATCAAATAAAAGAATATGTGAATGGACTTGAAATTTTATATTGTAAAATATGTGCAACATATTAAAATATTAGTAATATTGGAAAATATAAGTTGGGTTGCTCTTAAATCAAAAGTGATAAAGCTAGAAGAAAATCATGTGTTCAAAAGTTTCACACATTAGTTTGGCTGCTTTGTTTTTAATGATACTATATGTGATCAAAGCTTTCTGGCTGTTTGTTTTTTTAGACTTCACCATGAAAGACACAACGGTTTGGATCTTTGTGGCTGTTCTTTCTGCTGTCATCTGTTTGATTATGGTCTGGGCAGTGGCTTTGAAGGGCTATAGGTACTTCATTATCTCTAAGCCCTTCTCTCAATCATGATTGTCAGGAATAACAGCAAAAAAGATAATGTGAAGATAATGGAAACCTACAGATAATCCAAGGCCTAATTTTAACCATTAGTTGCAGTGTGCTTGCCAATTTTTTTTAAAAAAATCATTTTATCAGTGCTTTCTTTAAAAAAAAAAAAGTAGGAGAATGAACTCACTTGAAGCAGGTGTTCACAGCTGTGAAATAGTAAAAATCTGGAAAGAACAGCTGAAATTAAGAGAAGCAAATTGTCCAAATAATTCATGAGTTTCAAAATCAGTCTTCTAAATTAGAGAAAATTTTGAGAGGTCTCTGTAATTATTATCTTCATCGCTTATTATTAGTTTAATGTAGTCCCAATACTCTTTTTTATAGTTCCCATAGCAGCTATTTGAAGATAAAAATAATTTTTCAAAAATCACAAAGCAAAAAGATGAGTAATTTATTCAATCTCCCATATTATTTTATAGCATGATGACCTGCATCTTTCCACCGGTTCCCGGGCCAAAAATAAAAGGATTTGATACTCATCTGTTGGAGGTAAGTGCCAGAGGCAGAGAATGAAATGTGACTCACTACTTTGTAATAATTAACTTCACAAATGCACACACAATCCCATCAATCCAGCCAGGCTGTCTCCTTATTGGCATATGTTAACAGAGAGAGGTGTGAGGGATAAGAGTGCTCACTATCAGATATGGAAAGTCCAAGGGCAAGGAAAGAAAACATACAAACACATGTTGATGCTGTACACTGACCCAGGGCTGCTCAGAAGCACAGCTATTATGATTTTGTACAAATAATTTGGAAAGAAGGTGAATGTTTTGATTAATACAAAACAGGAACCCACCTTCACTTCCATCATATGGGACAAGCTTCCCTTTGAATTTTCTTTATATAAGTCCAAAGTAATAGAATGGTCTATTTTCCCTATTGCTCAGTTTGAGCATTCGCTTGAGACTAGGTTAGTAAAATAGTAGTGTTGTTTACCAAAGCGTATTTAGACTGTTTTTAATGAAAAGAGAGATTAGAACTTTTTTTATTTCTTTTTAAGTTGAAATAGATAATTTCAATTCGACAGAAACCTTAACAGTGACATATGTTAAATCTATTCCCTGTAGATGAAAGCAAATATCACTTGATCTGGTTATATTATGATTGATAGTGCAAGAAATTGAAAAGTGACTCACAGAGAATTTGGCTTGTCTGTATTTTCTTTGTTTGCAAATATCAGAGCAGTGATAAGAGCCCAGGAGTTTGGCTCCTAAACCAGTGTTCTTACCCCACCATTCAGTCCAGCTTTGACTTTTACAGAGCCAGCATGAATGCCTTTGCTAACTAAAGTAACCACTGACTAGCTCACAAGTCAACTGACTAAATCAATCACTAGCAATTCATCTAACTAAATTTACTGACTAGCTCACAATTCAACCTCCTGGCCACAGAGACAGCATAGCCACTTGAGGGTTAGGAATATTAATATCCTTCTTTCCATTATCTATCTCTACTCCTCCAAAGAACCCTCTCAGATAGGTCGTATTATTCTTATTATTAAAATGAAGAAGATGAAGTTATGGGAGCAGCTTGTCCAAAGTCATATATACCCTATATGTAATCAAGCCAAGAACGAAACGAGGCAGTAGTACCTGACCTAAGAGCACTGGAAAGAAAAGGGGAAGTTAGAGGAAGAAGAGGCAGAAAAGAAGAAGGAGGAGGGAACAGGAGAGAGGGAAATATGGAATAGAAAGAAGAGGTGGGGAAAGAGGAGAAGGAGGAATGAGATGTGGGGGAAACGGAATAGAAGGAGCAGAAAAGGTGGGATTGGAAAAGGGAGAAAGGAAAGAGAAACAGGAAAAGGAGGAGGCAGAGAATAGCAGGAGAAAGGAAAGAATCAACCTATTATCACTCTAGAAAGTGGTGGAGCAGGTGAGGAGGCCAGCGATGACATCTCGGAGCCACTCCACCAATGAGTACCAGAGTCAGCTTCTCGCCTCAGCATTGTGGTTTCAGATGTTCCACAAGCTTCTTTTATTGAGTAATTTTATGTTTATTGTATTGTTCATACTACTTTCCCATTAAACCGATGATCATTATTGTTTAGACTGAGTAAGTTAAAAATCACGAGTTGACTTAAAAATATTTGATGAGTAACACCCAGAATGTGATTATAGATGGCCTGGCACACGATGCCTGGAGTTTGGAAAATTCCACACAGCTCTTACCACACTTCACCTGATCAAGGTGCTGAACAGATGCCATGTTGCCAACTATGATGCCAACTGGGCATGTGATGAAGCTAATAGCCATCTTTCCTTGTGTCTGTGTTTCATAGAAGGGCAAGTCTGAAGAACTCCTGAGTGCCTTGGGATGCCAAGACTTTCCCCCCACTTCTGACTGTGAGGACTTGCTGGTGGAGTTTTTAGAAGTAGATGACAGTGAGGACCAGCAGCTAATGCCAGCACATTCGAAAGAACACCCAGGTCAAGGTGTGAAGCCCTCACACCTAGATCCTGACAATGATTCTGGCCGGGGAAGCTGTGACAGCCCTTCCCTTTTGTCGGAAAAGTGTGAGGAACCCCGGGCCAACCCCGCAACTTTCCACACTCCTAAGGTCATTGAGCAGCCTGAGAATCCCAAAACAAATATTCCCTTCACCTGTGACCCCCACAGCATAAGTATGGAAGGCAAAATCCACTACTATCATGCTGGTGGATCCAAATCTTCAACCTGGCCTTTACCACAGGCTGCGCAGCACAACCCCAAGTCTCCTTACCACAGCATTGATGATATGTGTAAACTGGCTGTGGACCCTGCAGGTGCACTGGCCATGTTGTTGGACAAAGCAGGCAAAGATGCTTTACGATCCTCTAAAACCATTGAGACTGGAGGGGAGGAAAAGGAAGACAAGCAGAAGGAGATGGAAAAGTTCCATTCCAAGACTGAGCAAGGCACAGCCTGGCTGCTGCCCCAGGAAAAAGCCCACTTTATCTCTGCTAAACCCCTGGATTATGTGGAGATTCACAAGGTCAACAAAGATGGAGCTCTGTCATTGCTGCCAAAACAGAAAGAGAACAGTGACCAGACAGAGAAGCCCGGGGCTCTTGAAACCAGTAAGGAGTATGCCAAAGTTTCCAGGGTTATGGATAACAACATCCTGGTGTTAGTGCCAGACCCACATGCTCAAAGTGTGGCTTTGTTTGAAGCATCGGTCAAGGAAGCTCCGCCATCATATCAACAGAATCAAGCTGAGAAAGACCTGGCCTGCTTCACAGCAACACCAAGCAACTGCAGACACCCCCAGGGTGGGCTGGATTACCTGGATCCTGCATGCTTCACACACTCCTTTCATTGAGAGTTGACTAATGGAAGGTTTGGGTAAAATGTGATTTTTCTTCAGGTAACACTACAAAGTTACAAAATGCCATCTGCGAGCTGATGCTCGAGAATGTGGGTAGAATGACACTACTTTGTTCTTTTTCATGCTCCGTGTCTGACCACTTGCCTCTTTTTCCAACTGCTGATTTCCAGAACAAGTCGTTTTGTGTCCTGTGATTTGTAGATTTACTTTTTTGCTATTAGTTATAAAAATTGTATTCAATGAAATAAAAGCACATAGCTTAGTATTCTTGAGGGATAGTACGATTTAGGTACATCCTCTGGAAAAGGCTTTCATGGTTCAGTAGGTGACAGAAGGAAATGAAATGGTCAAAATGGTAGCACGGGAAGGTGACAGATAGGTGGGAAATGCCATGAAAACCACTTCTGAAAAACAGTTCTTTAATCTTGACACTCTTCTTTCTTTAGGATTACCCAAATATGACCCATGGAAAGAACACATGCATTCCAGCATACCTGACGAGTTGTTTACACCTGTTCCTATACCTTGACACATTGCCAAGATGCAAGTAAAATGATGCCTCCGATTTTTTCTTAAGATACTTTGAATATGTTAAGCATAGATTTCACACCCCTAAATTTTACTTCATTCCAAAGCCTCTAAAGAATATAGTTTTGGAAAGTAAAATTTTATTATATAAGAGGCAAATGAATTTCATGTGGCAAATTCTTTTAGAATGTTTTCCTGCAGCAGGAAAAAAAAATTATTATATTCCCTAGTCTTTCCTTAGTGAAAAAAAAAATCCCAAAAGATGAACTCTAATCTAAAAGATAATCACAGCAGGATGCTAATAGAACTACTGCCTTACTGTACATACGAATTCTACTTTAATACAAACCCATAAGTTTAGCAATGTATTTTTGAAGACTATTTTTCTATTGCTGAGGTAAAATAAAAGACTATTTTCTATTTTCCCAGTATAGCTCTTTATGTATTCAGTGGGTACAGTATTTTCTGCTACAAGGTTATAATTGAGCATTTACAGTGCATAAAAGTGTATGCAGTCCCTGTTTGTAGAGTAAAATGTCATACCAACCCAAAGCCCACTGAGAAATATGAAGTGGATTACAAAATCCAGTTTCCATTACAATGGAGTATAGTTTCTCTGATTCTTTTTCTCTCCAAGATACTTTAAGCAACAACGAACAACAACAACTTGGGTTCAAAGAATTCTCCACAGATCAGAAATTATTTCTCCTGTGAGTTTAGGGCAACTCTGAGGCTTCTGCCCATCTATGGTTGAATCTTCATAAAGCTACCATGAAAAAGGACAGTGGTGATTTTAACATGCTGTTTCAGAGACAGAGGCTTGGTCTTGTTTTGTTTTTCTGAGCAATCTTGGGCAGCAAAAGAATTTTAAGCAAAACCAGGAGTTAGTATCTCTCCTAAATAGATCCATTTGCAAAATCTTGGTAGAGATGGAGACAGCACTTACATGGGCAGTGTCCAAAAACGCTCTAGAAAGCCAGGCATTTGTAGAGTAATAGGAAAAGCTCCAAAGGTCAGGTATGGTAATGAGAATCTGTAGATCAGTTAGTTAGTTAGCTAGTTTGTTAGTTTGCTTGTTTGTTGTTTGTTTTTGACCCCCTGAGAGTGGTCAAAAGCTGGGATCACCATTTTAAGAGGAACATCTATGAATCATTGACTTTACAAACAGCTTCCCTCTATTTTTTATTTCACCTGAGGACAAATCCACTTTCCAGCCACTCACTAATGACATAAAAGACTTGAGCTCACCCTGGTGAGTCAAGTATTCCACCCCAACAAGTCCATATTGATAAGAACTGGATCCAGCTTCCCGGATGATTAAAAGTGAACACACTGCCAGTGCTCTATTTTCCCAATACATAGACAACTCTTATGATTTGAGGAAGCATTTGGGAGAGTTGTCCAAGCTCATTAATCCTCTAGATCCTCAATACTCAGTGTCTGAGAATCAAATGTGTCAGTATCAACTGGACACTGTATGAAAATAATGTTTGCAAAATCTTGGACCCCCAGCCCAGCCCTACAGAAATGGAATCTGCATTTAACGAAGATCCCCAGATGATTCACATGCTCATGGAAGTTTAAGAAACATTGCCCTAGATTAATATTTCCACTAAAGGTTATTTTAGTGCATGGAAACAATCCTCTCATGGAACGTATAGGTCAAGTTACATTTAACTCTCAATGAACAGTGCTATATATAAGAATAAGGCAAAAAAAGAAACCTATTAGTGGTTTAAGATGCACATAATGGAGAATCTGAGAATGACCTGCAAAAGCACATAAAATTTCCATTAGGGCCAGAGAATACAGTCCACTTAAAAGATGTTGATCATAGACAATGACCTTCAAGACAATTTAAACTATACTTTTCCCAAGTAGACCATTCTTCTCCAACATATGTATATATAGGTTTTTATTTATAAAATTATGACCATAGCAAAGACAAAAACTTGTTTGTGTGTGTGTAATTGTGTAGATCTTATAGTTTGAAGTTTTTTAAACAATCTTCTTTTGACATATAATTTTATGTATATAAAAAAAGGTTATTGCCGGCTAACAACAACCCAAATCCCAAAGACACAAATTAGCACTCATTAGTCAAAATTATGGTTCTGTAATCATTTAGCACTCTTTCGATTGTTTTCATGATATAGCATATTTTCTTTGATGGAAACAGCTGATTGAATGGAAGAACGCATACTCTGGGTTCTTCTCCTGTTTTGCCTTGGAGAGATGGAGAACTTCTTAAGGTCTCATTTTTTTTTCTGAAGATGTTAGACCAAATAATTTCTAAAGGCTTTTAAACTGTGATTCCTTGATTCCATGACTCACTGAATATTTTCCTACAAAGATCATTCAAACAAATGCCTTGTATCTTAATATGGCATCAAATAATTGCTTTTCATTATATGAATACCAGGTAATCTTCAGTGATCTGCTCATCATACTTTACTTTTTAAATCATCAGCCCCAAATGATCTTAATGTATTGCAAATTCATTTTCTAAGTAATATAAATACAGAATCATATTCTTAAATTATGTACAAATATGCATACAGAGAATAGGCATAAGATAGAAAAGAGACACTAATCTGTAGAAAAATTATCTTTTAGTGAATCAAGCCATGCTCATTTCTGGCTGAGTCCAGCAGCCCCAAATCTCTTTTCTTTTATCTATTGATTTTTTTCCACTTATGATAGCTTGTAAACAACCATTGCCCAACTGACTTAAGGTCATACTTTGATAAACAAGTACCTAAATATTCACGTTACAAAGCTTGTGAAACTTATGGTTGATTTATGGACACTTACGACCAAAGTAACAAAATGTTCTATTTAAGTTTTAATTTAATGTATATAAGACACCCTAACATGAGCACAAGTTATTATCAGCTGCCATTGATATTTAGCAGACTCGACATTTTCCTAAGTGCCTAAGACCATCTCTGGTAGTCAGTTATGAACTGAATACTCACTTTAACTGGTTTGGTCTGAGGAATCAATCTCCAGCTGCTTGTGTAAGATCAAAGCATTTTGACTCCTTGCCCTGTGGTGACTGAAATGAATAAACAGGCAAACCTTGAGTTAATGAGTGACCTGAGGCTGAGTTCCAGGGAGCAGTTTGTCTCTGGAAGAAATCTGGCTCTCGCTTTTTTGAGCTGCCCTCTGCTGCCCATCATTTGCATTTGCAGAAAGACTTGGGCCTGCCTTGCCAACTTCCCTATCTCCTTAGAGAATAAAGAAACAGATTTGTATGTTTTATAAAAGTGCCTTTCTTTATTTTCTAAAAAAAAAAAAAAAAAAAGAGTTGTCACTTTGCAAGAAATTTGTCAGAAAGTAAAACTGACCTTAAGTAGATTTTGTTTTTATGCAAATGTTGCATAAAAAAAATGAAGAAATGGAAAGAGAAGTCAGAAAGAATGACAAAATGGCCTAAGAATTAACCAGCAAAATGTTCAGTAGATTTTTGTGTATTGTTCCAATGAACCATCACAGAGCATATGTTAATAGTGTGACTTACTTTGCCTGACAAGAAATTGAGTCTGGCTATGATGTGGGGATAAACCTGCCACCCACTCAAGACAATCCATTTTAAAGCATATTGTTGTGCTTTTAAATGTCACTGAATTGCATGCCAGAGCCTCAAAAGAACAATGTGTGCACTTTGAAACTTTGCACACAGATGGAAAAATACTAATGACTCTGAGTTATCACCCCCAGTGTTGTTAAAAATAGATAAGCCATTGATGAAAGCCTTGTGTGTACTTCAGTGAATGAATGTCCTTTCCTGTCTTTTTTGCTCAAGCACAATATTGTCATTGCTGGGATAGTGACTTGGCGTTCAATGTCCAGGTCTAGCTCCTATCACTGCCACTGAATAAACTATATGGACCTTTAAATTCTGGCCACCAATTTTCTCACTGGGTTGGCCAAAAATATTTCTAGGATTTCTCCTAGCTCTGTCTTTGATTCTCATAATCTAAGTAAAATCCAAGAGTTCATGTCCAAGTCCAGGTATCCCACAGGAACACATTGCTGACCTGCCCTTGACCTGCCCAGTGAACTCTGAAGACAGTGTGTCTATAAAAATGCTTAAGAGACAAAGTCAGCTCCATTCCTTCAACCCAGTTGAATTTAATCCTCCCCCCTCCTCTTCCTTCCTGGTGTTATGTACTTCTAGGCTTTTTATTCCTTCTCCCCAGGGCCTGTTATTTCTCCCAAGTGTTAATCATACCTAGTAGCAAGAAACAAAATTATTTTTAAAAAATGAACTTTAATTATGCAAAGAACTAGTCAAATGTTAAATCAGGCACAGATATCCAAACCCAAGTTGAGGATCACAAGTACACCCCACTGAGAGATTTGCATGCTTAAAGATTTAAGCCCATATTCACTCTTTAATTAATTTGGTGGCCATCTATATGTTCAAGCTATCTTTATTACTAGGCACCAGAGGTCTTAAGGAGAAACTTAAAAACACAGAATTATTTCTTCAGAACTTATGATCCAATAAAAAGTGAGCTTTGTATGATTGACAGCTTTGTCATCTGCAAATCAAACAGGATTTCTCTGCCTAGACTTTTGCTTTTTAGGAAGGTGATTTTTGGTCTGGGACCCCCATGGTATCTATTTCAATTAAAGGGAAAAGATAGATAAATAGAAAATAGGATGTTTCCAAAGGTTTGGGCATTTGAGAATTCCACAAAATGCCAAGAATAGCCACTAAACCTAAATTTTAGTGAAAATAATAAAACTATAATGTATTCAGTAGTCTGATATTATGGCTCTGAGATGTATATAATTCATGATACAATAGGCTGGCAGCTCTTTTATCCACATCAATTTATTTGGTTTACTCTCTGATTTCAATTAACAAAGCATTGAAAAATGTAAATTGGAAAGGCATGCCCTGTTGATATGGTGTAATCAATGAACAGAGGGACTCTCAGATAATCAAGGCATATTAGTTAATTAACATTTTACCTGCTGCTGTTTAAAAATAAACCTCTAAAAACTTTGGCAACTGAAGGAGTAATATCAAACATAAACTTAAATAGTTGTGGTCAAATTATGCTCACCTGGATAAATTTCTGAGCTTTTCTGTACACATTTTGCATTCTGGTGGGAGGGGATCTTTTTATCATGTTATCTAAAATTGAAAAACTATATGGCAAGAATACCTCTGAAAAATGATTTGTTTTATAAATTCTTGGGAAAAATGAATTTTGAAATTAATTTTAGAAATAACTACCTCCCCTTCATGTCCTAATAACCTTCCTTCAAAGCTGCTTGTAGTTTAGAAATGAAACATCTCATGCTTTGACTGTTTTTGGTGGCATATTGGATGTATTTGTCATAAGTCATTTCTGACTTTAAAGTAATCATTGTATTATTTTATACTATATTGCCGTATGTGGTTCAAAAACAGTATATGCCACACTGAAATATATAATCCTCATGTTATAAAACTCATTATGTAATAGAAATGAAAATTATTTAATGACTTAGAATCTATCTATGTGTAATTTCAAGATGATTATGTTTATGACTGTAAAATAAGACTAAAAAATGTAATCACATATTTCTGTTGAAACTGTGAATGTACTAATTTTTCCTTAATCTTTGAAGTAGTATCATATGCCACTGTACAGCTGCTCTGGGGTGTTCTGTGTTTAAAGTACAATCCAACAACTATTTAAACATCAACTTCAACCCCTCGGCTTTGCTTCATGTGACCACTGAGTCTTGAGTGTTATCTGCATAATGAGGCTTAGTTTTGTGCTTCATCATCCATTTTGAACAATGTACAAGTCTCATGTGGAAACCAAAGCGATCTAGACCCAACCCATTGCAAGATCGTGTCTTCTGCAAAGCCATACTGAAGTGAAGCCTTCACCATAATGGAAGGTTCCATATTTTCAAAGCTATCACTACCTCTGCTTGTCTTCTCTCCCTAGAAAATGCCAAGTAAAATCTTTCAACATTAAGAGGCAAATTAGAAGTGATTGTTAAATACATTGATGACGTTGTTTGCTTCTTCACATGAGAATGCAACTTCTAATTCACCACCTTGCAGGCTTATGCTAGGTTTTCTGAATAACCCTTTTTACATTTTTATATTTTATAAAAACCGGCTGATGAGTAAACTTCAGAAAGAATACATAGTCATCAGATAAAAAAAAAAAAAAAAACAATAACAGAGTGTAGAGTTTTTTCCTAACTATTAAGTCACCTTAAGGTGGTTTCCCAAAGCCATGATAATATATGTCATTATTGAAAATACCCAGTTCAGTGCCTGGCTTAACAAATGTTTATTTCCTTTGCCTGCCTTTAATCTATATTTTTTTAATGGAGAAGAGCAGAATTACATGTATACAGCTGAAGCAATTTTCTTAAAGACTTTTTGCTGTTAAAGGATCCATAATCAGGAAATTTACAATATAATTCCCCTAAAACTCCTAGAAATAAATTTTTTCTTTACTTAATGTTAGCTATCAAATATATTATGATATGGGAAAAGTCAGTCATTTATCAGAAATAATCTTGTTTTGATTTTAAAAACTTATTTTCTTTATGCCATCATTGTAATATCTATTTTTTTCCTGTTTAGCCTTTAAGAATTATAGATTATACACATCTGATTTGTTATCTTGCACTTTTCATTCTATAAATCTTTGGTTATTGCATACCATGCTTCCCGTTTTCCATAGATTTATTCCTTTATCTCCTTCCATTTTCTGGGGACTACACGGATGGTCAAATCTTTGTCAATAGTATGGGAAATTATGCTAACTACTATTCTCATACCTTCATTTTTACTGCATGCCAAAAACAATGCTTGCCAAACAAAATCTTAGACATCCTAGCACATTATGGTCATTATATTTCTATTCATGTCATTATAAAAATACCCAGCCTAGTGTCCAGCTCAATAAATATGTATTTCCCTTTTTCCCTTGCCTATCCTTCTTTATTTTTTTAAACTTGAAATGGGGATGTGCAGAATAACATATGTTGGGCTAAAGCAATTATCTGAAAAACTTTTTGTTGCTGACAGATGTATAATCAGGAAATTGTTTCTTTAATGGGACCAAAATAAATTTCTTCATATACCTTCATCCTGCCATAAATTACCAGACAAGATTCCCTTCCTTTACCTCATCCCTGTCATATGAGAAGCTGCAAAAAATAAAGTGACATGGCACTGGGCACAGTGGGAATGAGTAAGAGAATATCACTTAAATATTGTTAAATAAAGGAAAGACCAAATCATCAAGAAAAAAGTAACCCCTTTTCAAGACTATAATTCATTGATATTACCAATATATTTTTTGCAAAATCCATCAGATGAAGTGTGAATGGATAACCTCTTACTCTGAAAAAGATCTAGATCTAAAAAATCAACTACAGTTCATGCTTCTGTTGAATTATGAGACAACATGGAGGTTTGCTTTACAAACTCTTCTCTGCCACATCCTAATTCACTAATGCCGTATCTTATTGAAGAATTATAAATTTCTTCCCTACATGAATACTGGGATCTAAAAGTTGGCTTTAGGCAAAGAAACTTTGACTCTCTTGTTCTCTTGGAACCATTTGCCTTTAATTCTTGGGCCCATTTGTATTTTTAAGCTACAAAATGTGCACTGTCAGCCATCAGACACAGGCTCTCTACAATTAGTGATGAGCTAGGGAAGTAGTAGGGAGCTACTTTTCCAAAGTTAACTGCATGAGCTTTCCTCAATGAAAATGGAAATTCTGTACTGCCACATCTTGCCAGAATCCCATATGAAACTTTCACCCACTTAGACCTCTTACATCCTACTGACCAAGTTTCACACATACCAAGTCTCCCCCATTTTTTAGAACCGGAGAGATGCAATTTTCATCTTGGGGTGATGGAGCAAGATGGGAGTGAAGAGGAGTGAAAGAAAGTGTCATTGAAAAGCCCCCAAAAGGGACCTTCCTGGACATGGGAAGAAAAAGTCCTGATGATTTTGAAAATCCCTCCAAAGCCTGCAGAGGAAATCAAACCCATTGTTAGTGCTGTAAAATGTGTTCTGCTTTGGAAATCTTGACACCTAAAGTTAAAATTCTTTTATCAATAACCTCCTACACCCACACTGTCCATCAACTCCTGCTTCCCATACAAATGTTAAGCATTTTTCTCTTGTTGTGATCAGGTTCACATTAAAATGTGTGCTTATAAACTGACTTGAAGCACAGATATTTTTATGAATGCTATAAAATATTTTTTAAAGAAAAAGCTAGAGGATGTCAGTCAAATAAAACACCACATGGATGTGTGTTGGCAAACACTGGCATAAGAAAACAGAGCTCAGGAATTTTTATTACTGTATTTATAAATGTATTTGAAAGAATTTGTAAATGCCACAGGTACATTTGTAAGGTGACACATTTGCTCCTTATAAAACATTAAAAATTACAAGGCAAGCTTAAATGACATTTGCCAGTAGTTTTACTTTACAAGATGAATATTGATATTGTTGCTGAACTATGTAACTATGATGCATTTTTCAATCCTTTTTCAGAGCAAATGCTTTTGCAATGGTAACAATGCCTACTTTAAGTTGACTTAATAAATTATTTCTTGAGCAATGGCTTTTGGAGGGTCTTTTATACATATATGTATGAAACTTGGATTATATGAAAAATAGAATTTGAGACATGTTTTTTCTTTGATTCAGCAAAACATCTTGGGACACATTTTTTTAAAAGAAAGGGGGAAATGACATTCTAAACCTCTCTGGTAATAAAACATGCAGACACATGCTAAAACATTTATCTTAGGACACTCATCCTTGGCATTTTGTTGTTTTTGTTTGTTTGTTTTTCCGGGCACAAATTTCTTTGCTCATATTTCAACACCTTCTCTGATTTTCTATTCCTACTAATTCTAAGTCAAAACCAAACCTTGCTTCCAACTTAGCTAACTTCTACATCTTCTCTCTGTACTGCCCTCGTGTTTCCCTTGTCTTTATTCATTTGCCAGACCTGAGCTTTGAAAGTGCAAACAGGCTTGGAAGCACCCAGAAATTCCTTGGATCTTCTCCTGGGAGTAACCGAGAACAATCAAAAGGAAAGTTTCCAAAACCAAGTTACAGTCAACTTCCCTAAATAAAGCTGTAGCCCCAAATCTCAGTGCTAAAGACTGACTTTTTTGGTTGTTGTTCACTTCTTTCTACCTAGAATTACTCTGCATCTTCACTTCAAACTCCAACTGTGATTTAATCCTCTTTTATGATCTTTCATCTGTTGCCTAGACTATTTCATAAACACTTGAAAATTACACTAAAAACATAGCAAAGATCTATTTATGAACATCAAGTTTCATAAATATTAATATTTTCCTTATCTGTTCCATATCTTTTTAACAAATGAAACATCATGGGTATGTAATTTATATCGGTCAACAAATTCTATTTTCCTTGATGTATAGCCTTCCTGTCTACTTTTAAAATGCATTCACCTCCTAACTATAACTCTGTATCCATACATAATATATATAATTAATTATACGGATTGTTTATGAATTTTACTATTGTACTTATTATTATGATTTATTTCCATGCAGCATTAGGTTTATGAGGCACAAATAACTTCACTTTGTTCTTTCTATCTGCTGGGTGTATGGATACGTGTACACAATTGATTTATTAATGTTCTATGAATCAACTTTTTATTTCCACTATTTTAAATGCTTGTAATGAGCCTTCCTATGAAGATTTCATTTCTCCAAGATATAAACCCAGAGGTAGTATTGTTGGGTTGTATAATAACATACCTTAGCCATTCCTAAACATTGACTAATCGCTCTCTCTCCAAGGTAGTTGTACAATTGGACACCCCTGCCATGAGTGTATATTTTCCATTTCTCCCCATCTTTGTCATTACTTGGCGCTGTCTAGATCTTTTTATTTTTGACAATTTGATGAACATAAAATGATACGCTGTTTTTATTTTAATTTTCATTTCTTGTATTTGAGTATCTCACCCTTTATCTGCTTACCTTTTGAGAACTTTCTGGGATTCCACATATGTGGAATAAGCCCCATATTCCACATATGGGGCTTCTTTTTCTGGTTCATTTGTCTGTCTATCCCTGCTCTTGTACTCCACTATTTTATTATCATATCTTATGCAAGGACTTGCTACCTGGTAGATTAATTCCCATATCATCATACCCTTCCTCAAAATTATTCTGTTGTTACCTGCTTACTCATCATGTGCATTTTGAGACAAGCTGATACAGTTTCTTTAAAACTTGTGCTGGAAACTAGATTGTCGGGTATTAAATTTATGTATTAATCTCAAGAGAAGTTACATCTTTATAACATTATGTCTTTCTAGTCATGAACATGGTATATCAATCACATTATTTACATTGGTCTTCAATAAAAATTTGTGTTACTCTTCATCAATGTTTCTATGTGTTGTACTAGATTCATTCCTAGGTACTATGTAATTTTTGTTGCTATTGTAAATGCCATCTTTTCAAAAACTGTCTTATTCAGTTGTTGCTGATCTGTAAAAACATCCACTGGTTTTTTAATATTAATTTTTCATGCTGCAACTTTATTGAACCCCAATAATCAGTTCTTATAATTTGTATAATTTCTTAGGTTTGTCCATATTTACAATTATGTTATCAGAAAGTGCCGCAGTCCGGCTGCAGCAAAATAACTGGGGGGGGTGATGAATAACTTGTGTACGAATAACTTGTGTACGTTGATACAGCAGGAGAGGGAGCCGTTTATTGTAGGACAGGAGCGGTATTTATACATTCCACACAGCTTATCTAATTAGCATAAACTAGATACATCAGTCAACCAATCAGGAATCTCCACACTTAATGGCTCGCTTTTGTTACTTCTCAAACCACTCCCTCTGGCATTTTGCCAGGCACCATCCAGACTTGTTTACCCCTGGCAAAATGCCAGGTGTTATTTTGACTTGTTTACAGACTCTAACAAGAAAGTAACAACTTAGATATTTTTTGTTTATCATTCTTCTCTTTCTTCATCTATTTCTTAGGATAGCCCATTGAGAATAGTGTTGAATAGAAGCAGAGTAACAGAAGAGTCATTCTTTCTTGCTCTTGACTTTAAAGAGAATGCTGCTAAATGTTCACTATTAAGTGTAATGCATCATGTAGGTGTTTACGCATACCCTTACTTATATTAAGGAAATGCCTTAATATAAGTTCCTTGTTTGCTAATAGTTTCTTCTAATGAATTGGTGTTAAAAGTTCCTATAATTTTTTCTACATCTATCGAAATGATCACATGGCTTTTCACTGTTAATTAATTAATGTGTTAATTTAATTATACAGAATTACTTTAGAGAATATTTTTAAGGTTAAATTGCAATCTTGAAAAAAACCTCACTTGTTCATGATGTACTTTTGCAATTTGCTAAAATTTTCTTTAGAATTTTTGCATTTATGATATTCCTTTTTTTGCTGCTTGAGATAGAATTTCCTCAGATGATTTAGGCAAGTTAAAATCTTCTAGGATTGTGGAAATTCCTGTTTCTTACAATTCTATCAGTTTTGTTTTATATACTTTGTGAATATATTGTTAGATAAATATGGACTTAGATATTGAACACTCTTAATGAATCATTTTTTCATTGTTAAATATAATTGTTTCTGTCCTTAATGATTCTGTTTGTCACAAAATTCACTTTTTTCTGATACTAACATTGTTAATGCAGTTTCTTTGGGGTGGGAAATCTCTGTTCCGTTACTTTCAGTTGTTCTATGTCATCATATTTTAGGTGTGCTTATGAACTGCATGTAGCTAGATGGTTTTCTCTTTCTAGTTAAGAATGTTATCCTTTGGGTGATTAGACAGTTCTCCTTTCCTGATATGATGCACCCTTCCTTTATTTTTCTTCTTTAATCTGAATTTTTTTTTAAAGAGTGAGAGGGAGAGAGAGAAAGAATTTTAATACTTATTTTTTAGTATTTGGCGGACACAACATCTTTGTATGTGATGCTGAGGATCGAACCCGGGCCGCACGCATGCCAGGCGAGTGCGCTACCGCTTGAGCCACATCCCCAGCCCCCTTTAATCTGAATTTTTAAGTCAGCCAATTCTTTTTAAATTTTGACTTGTTATACATGACAACAGAATGCATTACAATTCATATAACACATATAGAGCACAATTTTTCATATCTCTGGTTGTACATAGAGTCACATCGTTCGTGTCTTCTTACATGTACTTAGGGTAATGATGACCATCGCATTCCACCATCTTTCCTACCCCTATGTCCCCTCCCTATCCATGACCCTCCCCTTTTTCCCTTTGTCCTATCTAGAATTCATTTAATCCTCCCATTCTCCGCCCCCCCCAGCATATTATAGATCAGAATCCTTAAATCAGAGAAATCACTCAGCATTTGGTTTTTGGGGATTGGCTAATTTCACTTAGCATTCTGTTCTCCAGCTTCATCCATTTACCTGCAAATGCCATGATTTTATTCTCTTTCAATGCTAAATAATATTACATTGTGAATATGCCACATTTTCTTTATCTATTCATCTATTGAAGGGCATCTAAGTGCAAATCAGAACTACTGTAAGATTTCATCTCACTCCAGTCAGAATGGCAGCTATTATGAATACAAACAACAATAAGTGTTGGTGAAGATGTGGGGGAAAAGGTAACTCATACATGGCTGGTGGTACTGCAAATTGGTGCAGTCAATATGGAAAGCAGAACGGAGAATCCTTGGAAAACTGGGAATGAAAACACCATTTGACCCAGCTATCCTACTCCTTAGTCTATACCCAAAGGACACAGCCACATCAATGTTTATGGCAGCACAATTCACAACAGCCAATTTTTTAATAAGAACTGGAAACAACTAAAGATCCTTGTCAGATGACTCACTGTACCTGAGGGCCACAAGTGTAAGGGAAGCTCTTTCCTCATGGAGATAACCCCAGTCATAGCCAAATTCTAAGAAATCCCATCCTGCTATGATTGGAAGAATTAATTGTGCATTGGTTGTAAAGTTCAAAATATGAACCACTGGAGAATTTAGCTGTTCAATTGCTAAGATGGGCTTAGCTTCAAAAAAAATTTCTGCCATATATTCTATCCAAGAGAAAATCATTTGGATTTGTCACATTTCCCTTCTAAATACAAATCTTCCTCAATAACAATTTTCATCAGGCGTCTGCCATAGGCATTATTGAACAAAACTTAAGCATTGTGTGTTAAACACTGTGTGAGAATATAGCAAGCAATATGGATGCACTCTAAGCCCTTCTGGGAACTAAAATCCAGTGGGAAAGCTAAGGAAATCCACGTAGCCCTAAGTGTCCCAGATGGCTTTTTACAAGGTAACAAGTCCAGGAATTCTCACGAGACTTTTATTCAGTCATAATGAATAAATGAGAGGACTTGGATTTTGCACCATGTTTCAATAAAATGAGTGTTGCATGAACCTTAATAGGTACAGTTTCTGAATCACATCTCCACTTGGTTATTCTCTTCTTACACACCTGTCAATCTCAATCTGAATGCCCCATGCACACCATTCTTCATAGTCCATTTTGAAATGGAATAACTATAATGAGGTTTCATGTAAATTACATTTTACCTGAAATTCTTTTTTGCCGCAGTCTGGCTGGGCACACAATCACGAGCCACCACACAGCTTGTAGATTCAAACAGCAACTCTTTATTCCCGAACTCACACCAGCCGTCTACCATCACGTTCTGGGGAAATCCACGTTCTCTGCCCAAATCCACCTCCACTGGGCTTCTGTCTCCAAAATATATTGTCTGAATCCCGTGAGAACTCAAGGGGAACTCAGGCAGCAGGATACGCCCTATTCCCAGCAGGAATAATCTTAAACCTTAAACCTGGAACCTAAACTGGGAACGCCCTAAACACGATTATCTTAAAACCGGGAACACCCTAATCTGCCTTGGTCCTTGAGCAAGGTCACGTACATTCAATGTCACTGCAACATGTCAGCAACATGGGGTACGCTGGCAAGGAAATTGTCATACCTACTTGGCTAATGGCTCCCAGCACTTTTTTTTCTTTTTTTTAATCCTTTCCTTCAATTCTACAACTCCTAAATGAATTAGAAGATGAACAATTTGAAAAGACAGTTGTTTACCCTTCGAAAGTCTTAACTGAATCCTGCACTTTTATGGGCAGAAGGCCTACAGGCAAAAAAGCAAAGTTCAGTTATGTTCAGGACTCAACTAATAAACCACTGATTAACCTGTATGTAAAAATTCTCCCCTTCAATTATTAACATAACAATGCTTTCCCAGTTGAAAATATTTTTTAAAGGACAAACCCCAATATTTTCCTGAGTGAAGAAATATATTCTGAGCCTTCAAAGTTATTCAATCTCTGAGAAACAGAGAACTTCAAGGGATTGAAAACTCTGTTCCTCTTATTTACCATTTGTGTAAACTGAGATAGTTCCTCATCTCTGATAGTATATGAAAAGGAGCAAATTATATACTTGATCAGCCCAAGGAAGAAACAAGTGAAGAGATTCAGTCTCTTATATTTCCTTATAACTCAAGAGATAATTGGAATTTTACTGTGAACCTTGGGTAAGACTTGGAACTGATATTCCAAGTAGGCTGAGAATTAAGATCTAGATGAAATTTAAATTTTCTCCTCATCCCAATTTTCAGATTCAGTGCATATCATATAATTCTATATATGTCAAAAGAATGAACATCTTGGAAAACAGTTTTTTTATAATATTAGTTGAACTATAAATTGATGCCATCTTACTAGGGTGCATTTAAAATGTTTACAAATTTTGACCTAAGGATGCTTCTTGAAAGAACTTATTCAAAGAAAAAATAATTAGTCAGGTACACACAATTCTATGTCCTAGGATGTTAGAGAAAATCTAGCTACCCATGAATAGGGACTTGGTAAATAAAATATAGAGAGTCTTCCAGTTTCAATTTCAACATGAAAAGAGCTTGAAATTCATCACTCCCATTCTTGCAATAAGAAGAAGATGGATAAATTAAAATTAATGACTTTTCTTGGAGCCACCAGAAAAGTGAAGTTTCAAAATGAATTATGACTCTGAAATCTAGAGACAGGCAAATGCTAAGTTGCAGACAAGATCTGCTTACCAGAAGGGGAAGCCACCGAGGCCATAAATAGTAAGAGCACTTAAATAGTAACTTAAGACAAATTACTAGCATGAAAATAAGAAGAACTCTCTAGTTGCCAAGGTCAGGGGACCCCAAAACCTTTATGGAACATCACCAGATTGTGAAGATGAAGATATCTTCTTCACTCTGGCCAAAAAAAAAAGAGAGAGAGAGAGTAATCACCATTATGCAACATGCTCAGAGCCTTCACTTTAGCAAGGATCTATTCTGCAAGGGAAATGTCTTTGCCCTATGTTGG